CAAGGTAGCCGTTAACCCTGTTAAATTATATACATAAATCATCAAAGAAAGGTAAATACAGTGTTCGAATATTAAGGACATAATAATACATCGTGTAGCATAGCTCGCAACGAATGTAGTCCTGTAAATAAATGAATAAAGAAATTGTGTAATAAAATGCCTCTGGCGGGACTCAAACCTGCGACCTCTCGCTGCCAAGGCGAGCGTCATAACCATTAGACCACGGAGGCTTCATGGTTAAACAGATTCAAATACCACCAGATACACTCCATTACACAATAAGTATGGCTAGAAACAAATAATAGCATACACTGAAATATAAAAACACTTAGAGTCACTTGATCAGAACAGGTTACATACACAAAAAATATAATCCTGAATCAGTAAGAAGTAGCTTGATTCGATGTATTTCAATCCAAGCAGACCAATAACCAAGGCAAAAAACTATTTATTATGGCCAAGTCATTTTGAGATGTCACAGAGTTATATGGAAGCAAAACAATTACGCTCAAATAGTTAAAAATCACGCCGTATCACCGTAGCCAGCTAGCTCCCCCTCACTGAGTTGTCGAGCCTCCCTCTTCACATTTGTGCCCCACCATCTGACCTCATTTTAATAATTCTGGATAAGCCACCATATGTTATTTTACAATTTGTTTTATACTACAGTATATTGTGTAGTACTGTACATTTTTGTTTGGCTCAATAAATAAAGAATTAATGTTTGTAGAGTATGTGAGTGACAATACCTTCCCAAGAATAAGGCCTGTATTACAGTATTTCATTGTTTGTAATCCTACAGTATTCCTTCATTCATTCATTCCCTCATTCCTTCCTTCATTCATTCATTTCTTTATTCCTTCCTTCATTCTTTCATTCATTCATACATACATATAGGCCAGAACCTATACATTGGATTTGGAAGGAAGGAAAAGATCTTGGTCTGATAAACTGTGTGTAAAAATTTGTGAATGTAATTCAATCAAAGACTTAAACCATTTCCTTTTTTATTGTGCATCTTTAAATATATATGTGAAAAATCTCTTGAACAACTTTAAAAATCTTGAAACATGGGGATTACCATCCTATTAGATTGTATATTATGATGGGTCTAATGTAAACGTATTCATGTATTTTTTTTTTAATAAATGTCCTTTGTAGCCATTTGTTATAACAAAAGTATCTAAAATGACAAAAAAAGCTCGTCATGAGCCACTTGTAATATTTTTTTAATAATCTCTGTGATAATAACCTCTAGGATAATATCCTCTGTGATAATATCCTCTGGGATAATATCCTCTGGGATAATATTCTCTGTGATAATATCCTCTGGGATAATATCCTCTGGGATAATATTCTCTGTGATAATATCCTCTGGGATAATATCTTCTGGGATAATATCTTCTGGGATAATATCTTCTGGGATAATATCCTCTGGGATAATATCTTCTGAGATAATATCCACTAGGATATCGTCTCTGATAATACCTTCTTGGATAATATCATCTGGGATAATTTACTCAGATACATCTGCTCACTTCCCAGTTTACTCTATTATTCATTCTAAATTTTCACCATTTTATTCTTCCTTAAAAACTAATATTAAATATGTTTATTTAAAAAAAAATAATGATAAAAGTATTCTTTTACAATACAATAATCTACATTATATTGATTGGATCAATGTTTACAATAAAAATAATCCAAAATGAAATCTATAATATATTCGCCAATAAGTTTTCAAAATTATGTGTTGCTCTTATCAACACAACCCAATGTAAAAGAAGTATTCGTAAGGAAAAAACTCTCTGGATAACAAATGGTATCATAAAATCTATTGACCAAACTAAATAAACTTTAAAAGACATACATTAAAGCAACAAATTATTAAACATTTCCTGGAAAACATTATAATGATAAATTCAAAATCAGAAAATTTGGCAAACAACACTACAAAAACTTTCCATCTTTTTTTCAGCAGAATGGATACAAATAATAGATCCACACCTAATAGCAAACAAAATAGATTAATATTTTTCAAACATTGGACCAAATCTTACAGTGAAAAAACCTAGTAACCAGCATTTTATGTCATACTTAATCCACCTCTCAAAAAGTTTTTACACCACCACTGAAGAGGAAATCATGAACATTATTAAAAATTACGATAAGAACTTTATTTATGATGATATATCTAACACAGTTATTAAATCCATCTCTAATGTAATTACCAAGCCCTTATATTGTGTGAGGTAATAATCTATTGAAACACTTTATGAAAGCAAGGTCAAAAAGAAATGTGTCTATAAAGTATAATTAGAAGACCTTTTTCATCTGAAAACCTTCCTGGATTAGTTCGTCATGGCCAAGGAAGTATGCAATTTTGATGACATTTTGCGGAGAAGGATGTACAGTGGAGACCATTACATGGAACGTCCCAGACCATAGGTCTGGGACGTAGTAGTACATATCGAAAAACAGGTCAATGGATCTGAATGAAACTTCAGAAAATGGTCCTGTAATGGACCAAG